GCATGTGCCCTGGCCAGAATCGAACCCAGAACCCTTCAATCTTCAGGCCGATGCTCTATCCACTGAGCCAAACCAGCTAGGGAATAGTTCTGATTTTGAAGGGTGGAATAAACATTCAGGGACTTAAAAAAAAAAAAGACAAAGAACCTGAGCATTAGGTGGAGTCTTCACCTGCTCTGGTGAGTTCAGGTCTTGATGGAGGCACCTGGTGGAGGGACTGGACTGGACAGCAATTAGAACTTGGTCCTGTTGCTGCCTCCTCAGTGAAATCGTACACAGTGGCCCTCGCACTGTGCAGCGTTTCTATATTCGGGCCCTTGCACAGTGTGTCTGTAGTTGGGCCCTTGCACAGTGTGTCTGTAGTCGGGCCACATAATTTGTGAGTCTGCTCCTTACGGCCATGTCTCTATAAACGTGATTTTTTCCTTTTTTCTTTCTGTCACCTTATAGGACGTGATTGGCTGTACTCAGGAGATGGATTTCATTCTTTGGCCTCGGAACGACATTGAAAAAATTGTCTGTCTCCTGTTTTCCAGGTGGAAGGGATCTGATGAGCCTTTTAGGCCTGTTCAGGTATTCTGCTCTGAAATAAGTGTGGTGAGCACCTGAAGGAAAACTCCTGGTAGGGTCTGACTTAGGAAATTCTTGGGGCTATGCTTTGTAATGAATTTTTTTTAGTCCCTTCCATCCCTTTGAATGTTGAGAAAGCACTGAATTGTGGAGTCTCTTGAGAATGAGGTGGTTCTCAGCTGCCCAGTATGTTTGCGATTATGGCCAGAGGAAGGCTTGAATTTTAAGGTTGGCCTGTTGGCTTTAGGAGGGGTCATGGGTGCAGTGGGCAAGCTCTTCCCCGGCACCACACACTCCTGAAGTGGGAGATGCCAGACCGTCCTGTGCCAGCACTGGGCGGGGAAGAGGACGCTCCGTGTCTCAGAGACTGGTCACAGTGCGGGCCGCTAGCTGCCTGTGCTCAGTGAGCTTGTGGAATGTGGCGAGTGTTACTGAAGAACTGAATTTCAAGTTGCGTTTTAATTCAGTAGCCGTATCGGCTAGCATGTACAATAGCACAACTGTATGTATGTCACGTCGTGTAACACGTTTGTGGTATGGTTACATATATGTGTTTGTGCTTTTTAATTAGGCTAAATTTGAGTTTCATCACGGTGACTATGAAAAACAGTTTCTGCATGTACTGAGCCGCAAGGACAAGACTGGAATTGTTGTCAACAATCCGAACCAGTCCGTGTTTCTCTTCATTGACAGGCAGCACTTGCAGGTGGGCATGGACCAAACAGGGCTGTTCCAACCCTTCACTGATGATCACACTGCTTTCTGTGCGAGTGACTTGGTTCTGTTTTGCCCCTTCATCACTGCATTATTTTTGAAGTTATTTAAAGAACAAGAAGCCGATCTCCTGGGCCTCACCCTAGAACATTGGTCCCCAGACTTGGCTGCCTATTAGAACTGGGTGGGGTGGGTTTTTTTGTTTTTTTTTTTAATTGCTTTTGCGAGAGAGGAAGGGAGAGCAAGAGAAGTACCGATTTTGTTGTTGTTGTTGTTGTTCCACTTCTGCACTCATTGATTGATTCCTGTGTGTGCCGTGATCAGGGATCAAACCTGCAACCTGGGAGTATTGGGATGATGCTCTAACCAACTGAGCTCCCTGGCAAAGGGCCAGGCGGGGGTGCTTTTAAAAAGTTATTTTTTTATTTTTTAAATTCTCATGTATTGATTTGAGAGGGATAGAGGAGGGAGCGAGGGGAAACATCTATGTGTTCCACTTCACGCTTGCATTGGTTGATTCTCATATGTGCCCGCAATCTTGGTGTATGAGGACAACACTCTAGACAACTGAGCTACCCAGCCAGGGCCTGGCACATTTTTTCATTTTAAATATCAACCTCCTGTACATACAGACGCCAGGAATCAGGAAGGCCACCTGTGTTTTCTTCTGCCCTTTTTAGAGAAGCTACAGTGACAAGAAGGTGAGCTCTGAGGCAGGTCTGGTTGATTGATCTGGCAGTTGTGTGACAGCACCTAGCACACTTGCCCCAAGTTAGATGGTTAAATCCAACTTCTTAAATGTAGTTCTTAGAGTTTCGTGGATCTGGTTGGTAACACTTTGGCTTTTTTCTAGTTCTTTTCTCTATATGTGCTCGTGCTTAGATCTTTTATTTTTTACCATTTCTGTTCCCCCCTGGCTTCTACTCTCACCACATCTGCTGTCTTTCCGTATGCAAACATGACTTCAAAGCTCTCTTCAAATCTGTCTCCATGAAATGCCTTTAACCCTGATTTCTTTCAGCGATTGGTCTATGGCTGACCTCTCTCAGTCTGCCTACATCCTTCAAACGTTTATTTGTCCTCACACGTCCTCTGTTTTCCTGTATTTCCTGTGGCAAAGCTCTGAACTCCCAGGGTCCTTGCCTATGGCTAAGAACCATCACTCTATGCTTTGTTGCCGTGTCCATAAGTGCTTATCAGTTGGGGAGATCGACTTCATGTGGCAATCGAGCACTTAGGTTGAAGGCTTATTTATTAAGAATATGAAAACTTTTCCCTTTCAGACTCCAAAAAACAAAGCTACAATCTTCAAGTTATGCAGCATCTGCCTCTACCTGCCACAGGAACAGCTCACCCACTGGGCGGTTGGCACCATAGAGGATCACCTGCACCCTTACTTGCCCGAATAGAGTGCTGACCAGCAAGTGGAGACGATCAGATGCAGCGGCAATTTTTTCTTGTTTTCTTACCACTTTATTCTAGAGTTTAAGGAAAATGGACTCATGCACAGAACACTATGCATTTTGAAACTTGTTCATCCTGGATTTTTTTTTTTTAATCATTTGTATCTCAGAACTTAACAAATTCGATGTCTTCTGCACAGACTGTGTGAGAGGATGCTTTGCATCTTTGCTGCACTGCGTCAGCATCTTAAAATGTGAAGTGAAGGACTATGTACACTGAAATGCCGATGTGTCTGAAAGCACCAGGTGATACCATGGTTGATGGTCTTCCATTTGTGCTGGTTTTGCCTCTGGCATCTGTCATCAGTATTTAGAGGGTGAGAAGGGAATGTAACAGGTATAAATAACATTTGAAAAACTTCATAGCTTTGCTCTAATCACCGTTGATCCTGAGCACTGTCAGATTCATTCTAATAACCAGAAGTGGTTGTTTAAAAAACAAACACAACCACAGGAAAGAAACCTTAAATGAAAAAAGCATCTCACTTGTAGGCATTCTTGCCTCATATTTTACTGGGCCATGTTTGTTTCCTGGTACTCATAAATATGTGTTTTATTTCCAGATCGCTTTCCAGGCTGCTGTTACAAAGTGTTCTGTGTGGACACAGTCAGACACGGAAAGCAGATCTGGAGCCTCGAGTGGCTAACGCAGCTGTCAACCCGATTCGCTCGTAGCTACAGAAGCCAGGATAGGTAGAGGACTTGCCTTTTGGTTTTCGTTTTCTTTTCTGGTTTTAAAGAGGAGATTTTTATTACAAAGAAAAAAAATTCCAGTGAATTGTGCAGAAATACTGGTTTCTACACCATCCTTAAGAAAAACTTATAAAGGGTTTTTTGGGAGTAGGAAAAAGTTATTGAAGTTGAAATCTTAAATTGTAAAAACCACCACTGAGTGTCAAAAGTTATAAAAGCAGAACTCATTTTGTGCAATGAACATAAGGAAAGACTACTGTATAGCTTTTTGTTTTGTTTTTGTTTTGTTTCTTTTAAATGAAGAAAAGCTTTGCTTAAGGGTTGCATACTTTACTGGAGTAAATCTGAATGGTCCTACTCCTTTGGAACAGACAGTGCTCACTGGTTTCCAATTGTATTTAGCTTTGGGTTGGAATTTGAAAAAATGAAAACCTAAATAAAATAGGTGCAGTTCCCTGACTATTCAGGTGAATACACAACACGTGAAGTGGTAACTTTCTTTTCTGGGCTCTGGGAAGGCATTACTGATGACCGTGAGGGTTACAGTCCCCAGCTAAAGAGCAAATTCAGAAGAAGAAACCCAGCCACTGGGTTTGTAATTTCAGCAAGAATAGAAATCGTGAAACAACGCTGTGTTTGCCATGGGCAGGCATTGTTCCAGGCTCTTGCCCTTAAGTCTCTGACAGCCCTGCGTGGACAAGTGGACGCTTGCCCAAGCTCACATGGTGAGTAGGGAGGGTTTAACCAGCTGCCTGGTTCCAGAGAGCCCAAGCTCCCAACTGTCTTACTCTAATGAATTACACTTGTTAGCTAATATTCAACAAGTTCTGCATTTCAGCAGCCATTGGATTTAAGTTTTTTAGAACTAGAGGCCTGGTGCATGAAATTTGTGCATGAGTGCGGTCCCTAGGCCTGGCTGGTGGTCGAGGTCGAAGCACGAGTGTCTGGTGTGGAAGGGCAGGTCCCAGCTGACCTCTGGGCCCTGGGCAGCACCTGGGCCCCCGAGCGCCCCCTCTGAGTCATTGGGCCGCACCTGGTTCCCTCAGGGCCTGGGAGCCGGGAGGTTTGCCATCTATCTGGCAATCGCCCCGCTCGCACCTGCCTTGGCCTGGTGCTGCCCACTCACCTGCTTGGTCCTGCTCTCATTGGGGCCAGCAGTGCCTCCATTGCCACATGCGCCCGCCCCCGCCCCCCCCCATCCACTGCCAACACCACGCTGCCCCCTAGTGGTCAGTGCACATCATAGGGAGCGGACCTCTGGGCCCTGGGCAGCACCTGGGCCCCCGAGCACCCCCTCTGAGTCATTGGGCCCCACCTGGTTCCCTCAGGCCCTGGGAGCCGGGAGGTGTGCTATCTGGCAATCGCCCCGCTCACACCTGCCTTGGCCTGGTGCTGCCCACTCACCTGCTTGGTCCTGCTCTCATTGGGGCCAGCAGTGCCTCCATTGCCACATGCGCTCGCCCCCCTGCCCCCCATCCACTGCCAACACCGCGCTGCCCCCTAGTGGTCAGTGCACATCATAGGGAGTGGTCATGTCATAGGGAGCTGTTTGTCTAGGGGAGTTTGCATGTTAGGCTTTTATTATGTAGAATAGATTTCGAAAATTTACAAGAGTAATGCAGAAAGCTCCTGTGTGCCCTTTACCCACATGTAGTCTGACATTTGCCACATTTGTTTTTGTTGTCTTTCTGCTTAACTTTAAACGTACTTAAACCTTTGAGTCTGGTGGCACCTCGTGGTGCATCTTGGTTTCTTACTCCTCAGGGCTAAGGCGTAGGTCCCCCAGGAAAGTGATGAAGCCCAGGGAGTGTGACGGTGACAACCTGAATGCCATCTTCGGCTCGTTGTCCTAAGGATGCCCTCGGTGGTGTGTTTAACCCCCTGCATTGGGCTGTTGGGTCTCTGGTCACCTTTGACTGGGACAGTTCCTCAACCGTAACCAACCTTGGCATTGCTGAAGAATACAGGTCAACTTTTTAAAAATTTATTTTTCTTTTATTGATTACAGAGAGGGAGAGAGAGATGTGAAAACCATTGGCGGCCTCCTGCACGTCCCCGGGCATGTGCCTGACTGGGAATCCACCCGGCCAGGCGAGTACAGGCCAATTTTTAAGGACAGTTTCTCATATTGATCTGGTGAAGTTTCTTCCTGGCGAGGTGTGGCTTTTGCATTCTGGCCGGTGACCTTACACCCTTCCCCGAGGCTGCCAGCTGGCTGTGCTGCTGTGGGTTCTGAGGTCCAAGGTGGTGTCCCGTTTCTGCTCCTCAGGAGGGTGCGGGCGCCTTTTGCCATAACCTGCCCTGACCGTCATGGCTGTGGGGAGTGATTTCCGTATCTTCTCCCTTCACATGGGCCAGCCTTCTGTGGCCAGGAAGAGACCTCCCGTCGGTTACTGATTAGTAACCTGCCTAAGCCGTTCGGGCTCAATGTCTCAACATTAAGGCTAAAGGGTTCTGAGGTCCAAGGTGGTGTCCCGTTTCTGCTCCTCAGGAGGGTGCGGGCGCCTTTTGCCATAACCTGCCCTGACCGTCATGGCTGTGGGGAGTGATTTCCGTATCTTCTCCCTTCACGTGGGCCAGCCTTCTGTGGCCAGGAAGAGCCCTCCCGTCGGTTACTGATTAGTAACCTGCCTAAGCTGTTCGGCTCAATGTCTCAACATTAAGGCTAAAATGCTAAGCATGGCATAGGCAGTAGGACTGCAAAATGGACTGAACAGTTTGTGAACTTGGTCTTTTTGATGCGGTGCAGTCTGGGAGATTGGAAACCTGCAGGGTTTTATTCTAGGTACCAGAAAAGTGGCTAACGGATGCCGTCCCCAATGGGAAATAAGCCAGTCCCGTGACAAATCCTCGGAAGGGCAGCACACCGCACCCTTGTATCCTCTGTGCTTTGCCTCCAGCTCTCTTGGGGACTAGTCTAGGCCACATCACTCAATCTGCTTTGAAGTTCCATAATCTTTATTTTTAGAGTGAGAGGGAGGGAGAAACTGACTGGTCCCACTCACTTATGCATTCATTGGCTGATTCTTGTATGTGCCCTGACTGGACTCGAACACACAACCTTGGCGTGTTGAAACGATGCTCTAACTAAATGAGCTACTGGGCCAGGGCTGAAGTTCCATAATCTTGAAACTGGAATTAAAAAATGAAATGTAAGATGGCATTTTAAAGCTGAGAAGGATTAACCATTTCTGTTTCTCCTTTAGCTTAATATTAGAAGTCAGTTTTAAGGTAATTCTATCTCAAAGTGGCCGTTTGTTTCTTTGCTTAAAGCTGAGAAGGATTAACCATTAAGGATTAACCATTTCTGTTTCTCCTTTAGCTTAATATTAGAAGTCAGTTTTAAGGTAATTCTATCTCAAAGTGGCCCTGTTTGTTTCTTTGCCTGCGTTTTCAAAACACTGAGCTAAGAATTTTTCATCCCAGTAGCATACATACGGTTAGAAGCTAACACTGAAGAGGCTTATAGTTTAAGAAAAAAAAAAAAAAAAGGAGCCACCCGCCATCCCACATGGTCTCTGCTCTTTCCCCTAAAAACACTATTTCTCGGCTGCTTCTGGTTGTGCTGATTTATTAGGTACATGAAGTCGTCCCCCGCGACCCCGCCGGGTGGGGAGGCCTTTGTCCTCAGCTCCCCAGGTGCTTGGTGTGTCTGCCCTGAGCTACCAGCTTCCCCGTCGTCTTGTTGGTCAGGTCCACGGAGGCAAAGGCCAGCGTCCTCCCTTGCTTCAGGATCTGTGCTGTTATCACCACCACTTCGCCTATTTTCGCCGGTGACATGTACCTTGAAAGGAAGCAATTTGGCATACAGTTAACAGCAGTTCTTAAAGGAAAGCCGTGTGCACGCCGAAGAGCCTTCCTGTGCTGAACTATTTCTAGGAGGAAAGTAAGCAGCCGTGCCAGTGAGCCTCCTGTCCTTCCATGGGAGTGGCTGGTCCTCACCCACACCGGCTGCTTTTCCCATAAAGAGAGGAAGGGTCTTTGCCTGCACCGCCCTTTTTCCATGGTTTCCCACTTCACATTGACTGGGAGCTGGGGGAAGGTTTCTGCAGAACTTGCTAAGTGAAGTATCACTTGGTGTCTATATCGTGTCATGTTGATGTTAAGCATCTACTCCACTCTAAGATGACTATACAAGGGCTAGAATTAATACAGGGCCCTTACAGTCCTGGTGATGAACTGTGTGTACACATTATTTTAAGAGAGACACTTCCAACCCATCTGTACTCACAAATTGTCATTCATTTATTTTTGAAATATCTATAGTGTATTTTCGAGACTATGTCCTAGTTTCTGTTCAAGGGACTCACTTAAAAAAATGTTTTTATTGATTTCAGAGGAAGGGAGAGGGGGAGAGAGAGAAACATGAATGATTAGAGAATCATTGATCAGCTGCATCCTGCACTGCCCCCACTGGGGAGCGAGCCTGCAACCCAGGCATGTGAACCGAACCGTAACCTGGTTCATAGGTCAACGCTCAACCACTGAGCTGAGCCAGGGGGGCAGGAAGTCACTAGTATTTGAAGGTCAGGCCAAAACTTTTGTCAACATAGACTCTGAAAGGCCAAAATTGTCTCACTAGAAACTCTCCATGGTTGTGAGAGCAGCCGTGTCTTATGGTAGAAGATGGTGCCCAGCAGAGCTAGGCTGGAACAAGGCCTCTGCTCCAGACTCAAGGCAGAGCCGTCGGCACGAGAGGCAGACATCTCCATCATCTTCATCTCAAAAGAACATGTGCCTCTCACCCTGGATTCACTTACTGCACCCTCACGTTAGGTTCTTTCCATAGTGAAAAGGGACTGGACGCCGCGCAAGCCTGATAAAAAGGCTTGGATTGCTCACAGGCCTAATAACTGCATTTCCATCGCCCTCATGGCTTTCCCACACTAGCCCTTGCCAGTCCCCTGGGGAAAGAATCATCTGTTAGTTTGGAGGCAAAAGCAATTGTCTGGAAACTCCAGCCCTGGCCCCTGCACTTCCATTGGACAGGGCTGGGCAGCCTTGCTGGTTAGCGCTGGAGCTGAGTCTGAGTCGGTACATTTGGGAACGTGTGACCCCTGCAGGCATGCTCCCCAGGGAGTGGCAGCCTGCCCTCGGGGTGCTGCTCCCACACTGGGTAGTCAAACCTGCAGAGCCTGTCTGTGCGCCTCGGAGACACCCTATCTGTGGTCACCTTGTCACGAGGAGAGGTGTCTATGGAGGTTTCTCCATTTTTTCTTTACGTTCTCTTCAACCTGTACGTGTCCTGAACACACGTCAGGACTGTGAAACAGAAGCCATGAGTCTGTGGTCATTTCCCCCCCAGCATCTGTGTTAGAGGCCGAATGTTTGCTTTTTCAAAAATTTTGTTGTTGTTAATCTCACCCGAGGATATTTTCCATTGATTTTTAGAGAGAGTGTAAAGGAGAGGGAGAGACAGAGAGAGAAACATCCATGTGAGAGAGACATCTATTGGCTCCCTCCCACACGGCCCAGGGATTGAGCCGGCAATGGCGGTATATGCCCTAGACAGGAATCGAACCCAGAACCCTTCAGTCTGTGGTCCGACACTCTATCCACTGAGCCAAACCTGCTAGGGCTGCTTTTTCAAATGCTTAGGTCCCTTCCTTTTACTACTGGTACACACGGGACCTGGAAATTAGTTCCTTTACTTCTAGACTCAAGGCCGAGAACACTGTAGGGCACATCTCCAATCAGTGCAGCGCGGCTACCTACGTGATGTTCATGTCCACGCTGACGCCCGGCAGGGCCCTCTCCGTGCAGAGCAGAGCCATGGTGGAGATGCTGTCCACCAGGGTGGCCGTCAGCCCCCCGTGGAGCGTGCCCAGCTTGTTGGTGTGCTCCTCCTCGACTCTCAGCTCACAGGTCACCTTCCCAGGAGCCGCCGAGACCAGCGTCACCTGAATGCAGAAGGAAAGGATGGTGAGCACCCTGTGGGCCCTGGACTAACCTGAGTCACCCCAAAAAAGGCGACTCAGAAAGTCAATCTTACCCATCTCTCTCGGACAGAAGTTAACCCTTATGGAAACTTTAAAGAAAAAGGAACATACAGGGAAAAACAATAGTAGTCTTCGCTAGTTTCCACTCCTGGCAGAAATCAACATTCCGTGTTATGCACAGCAGCCTGGCACCTCTTACTGTCTCCTGGGAAGTTCTGCACCAACGAGGCCAGCTGGCCCCTGGGAATCTGCTAGTCCATTATAGGTTTAATTTGGATGTTCCCTAGATTTTGCACAGGGTCATTTTTAAAATTACTTAGTAACCAATGGTTTAAAACAATTTTAAAAACAAACGAAGAAACCCCGTAATTCAATAATAAAGTTAATAAAGTTATGCAATAAGCTCATTTTAGGTGCAAACCCTCCGCTTAGCACCCGAGTTTGCTGCCTCGCCGCAGCTCCTGGCACCGATACCCGCGGGC